CTAGCAGTACTAACTTAGTCAAGGGAAGTATGGCTCCTTTTAGCCTGGGAGGCATCCCTTTTTGGAGTCTCCATGGTACAGTGTTAACGGTCACTTTTACTTATCAATACATTACATCCAATTATATGAAATTGTTAGGGGCACAGTTTTGATGGGGAACAGGCACCCACAGTTGTCAAACATTTTACTTGGAATTGCAGGTCTTTGTTACCTCTTGGGATTATTTCCCAGAAGAGCAAATGTGGGTAATTTAGTATGAATTTTTAAGGGTGGATTTCTAACATGCGGTTAAGTAGTTCTTAAAATAGCAGTGTGAATGACTTTTAGGACCATACTTTAGGTTTCATTGACGTTAAGGTTGACACTTTCCATTATAAGACTCTGCTTGTAGTTGCTTACAACTTTGCCAAATAGCCATTGAGATTGAAATTTTCATGCTGGGTGTCTGTCTCAGTCTCAATTTTCTGGAAGTTTCAGCTAAAATAAGAGAGATTAAGGAGTTTTGTTTTGCCCTTGATGGTGTGTGGGGGGTTTTGTCTGATTTGTTTGTTCTTGCCACTTCTGTTAAGTTCTAGTGCCTCCATGTTTTGGAGCAGGGGCTTGACATTTGGCAGGTGAGTTGCCCTCGTGCCAGTCTCATGAAAATTCACCTAAATTTGGCCAGATTGTAAGCCTCTGAAATTACAGTTCACACAAGCTCAGTAGAAGTTTTACATCTAAATTCTGATTCCATGTGCATTGATCATGCTTCATCCCCAAAGGGCTCCTGCATGACAACTGAGCTATGCATGCACCATTCTGGGGCAGCAGGGACTGAGCAGGACTTTCTCTGCAATTGATCTTCCCAGTTGCTGTGAGCAGCTGGGCATTGAAGGTGAAAGCAAGGATTTTGTCTTTCTTGTCCTGTGTCCCTCCATTATTGTCCAGGTAGCATGGATAAAAAGATGCTGGAACCAGTCTGACTAAAATGCAGTGGAGAGGTGCTGGGAGGGGCTGAGATGGAGGGAAGATAGGATCAGAGGTGAGGGAATGATAACAGGGTGGGAATAGACAGGATGGGAATACAGTCAACCTGTCCACCTCATATTGCTAAATGGGAGTGGAGGTTCCCAACTAGTGTCCTAGTTAAATTGGAGGGGGTCATGAGGTGGCTCTGGAATGGAAAAGACTGAGAATCACTGCAGTGAAATATCAGGACGTGCAAGGTTTGCCCTGTTGCATAGGAAATGTGCATCTGAATGTACCTGGTATTTTAGGCATAAGATGAAGTGCGTACAGCAGGGGTGGGCAAACTACGGGCCACATCTGGTCCACTAGACCGTCCTGCCCGGCCCCCGAACTCCTGGCGTGGCTAGCCCCTGACCCTTCCCCCGTTGTCCCCCCTCCTCTGCAGCCTCAGCTCGCTCGCTCCGCCGCCGGTGCAGTGCTCTGGGCGGCAGGGCTGTGAACTCCTGGGGCAGCACAGCCGC